GCAAGGCCCGCAGTCTGTGTTGTACTGAGACAGAGAGCAGTTGAAGGTGACAGTGTGTTGAGGGTGTTGAGAGACGCTAGTGTAGGTCGTGTATGTTTACACCGTGTTTGAGTGTTAAATCTTCATTTTAAGCGATTCGCTTGTGCCTTTTGTTCCATCGCTTAAAACCGAAAGCCCAGCCATGCCTCGTATAACGATAAAAGGTGGATTGTGGAGGAACACAGAGGATGAGATCTTGAAGGCAGCAGTGATGAAATACGGGAAAAACCAATGGTACCATACTGCAACATTGTTACATAGGAAATCAGCAAATGAATGCAAGGCCCGTTGGTATGGATTTCTTGATCCGTGTATAAAGAAAACAGAGTGGAGCCGTGACGAAGACGAGAAACTATTGCATCTAGCAAAATTGATGCCAACTCAGTGGCGAACCATTGCATCCATCATTGGAAGAACAGCAGTGCAGTGTTTGGAACGTTACGAGTACCTGCTGGATCAGGCACAGAAGGAAGTTGATGGAGAGGCTGCTGCAGATAGCCCACGCAAGTTGAAGCCTGGGGAAATTGACCCCAATCCAGAGACAGAAGCTGCACGTCCAGATCCCAAGGACATGGATGAAGATGAGTTGGAGATGTTGTCTGAAGCACGTGCACGACTTGCCAATACTCAGGGAAAGAAAGCAAAGTGGAAAGCTAGGGAGGAACAATTAAAAGAAGCACATAGGTTGGCAGCTGTACAGAAACTGAGAGAATTGCGAGCAGCTGGAATTGAGTTGGCACCTAGGGAGAAAAAGAAGCGTGGGCTAGACCATAATGCAGAAATCCCATTTGAAAAGCTCCCTCAACCAGGATTTCATGATACTAGCAATGAAATATTTGATCAGGCAGCTCCTGATTTTAGCCGACTTAGGCTGCAACATCTTGATGGAGAGCTGAGAACAGAGAAGGAAGAGCGCGAGCGTCGAAAGGACAAGCAGAAATTGAAGCAGTGGAAGGAGAATGATATTCCTATGGTTGTGCTGCAGAATCAAGAGCCAGCTAAGAAGCGCAGAAAGTTGGTTTTACCAGAACCTCGGATATCGGACCAGGAGCTGCAACAGGTGGTGAAACTGGGACGTGCGAGTGAAGCAGCCAGAGAAGTTTCTACTGAGGGTGGACACCAGCCTTCAGATACACTGCTGGCCGATTATTCTCTGACCCCTGCAGGGGACACACAAACACCCCGTACTCCAGCACTCACAACTGATAGGATCTTGCAGGAGGCTCATAACATGATGGCTCTCACTCGTGTAGACACACCTCTTAAAGGAGGATTGAATACACACTTGCAAAGTTCAAACTTTTCAGGCATGACTCCACAACGGGAAATTGTCACCACACCAAACACAGTGCACACAACTCCATTCAGAAGCCAACATAGTGATGCACTTCATGCTCCAGCTGGTGGGGGTTTCCATACACCAAACCTAGATGGCAACAGCGGTGCTGTTGCACCTACACCCATTTGTGACAAACTAAGCATTAATCGAGAAGAGGGGGCGGTTGTTGGGCACACACCCCAAACCATGCATATTTATCAGCGCCAGTTAAAAGAGCAGCTTCTATCTGGGTTGAACTCTTTGCCTGCCCCAAGGAATGATTACGAGATAGTTGTCCCAGATTCTGAGGAAGAAATCAAAGCTCCAGTAGACACTGTGAACAGTGTAGAGGACCAAGCAGATGTGGACACCAGATACCTTGCTGAGTTGAAGGCCAAATGCGAACTGGAGATGCAAAGCCGTTCCCAGCCAGTTCAGCGGGACTTGCCTCGACCAGTGGAAGTCAACATGGCAGTACTGTGTCCACCTCATACAGACACCCCACTCACAGAACTGCAGAAGGCCGACGAATTGATCAAAACAGAAATGATCACAATGCTACATTATGATGCCGTCTATTCACCACCCATCATACCAGCTGAAACCAAGAAGCGTGGTCAAGTGAGAAGCCAAGCACAGCATTTAGTGTACCTTGAGCAGCATCCCTATGAGACCTACAGCCAGGATCAACTAGCCCAGGCAAACACAGTATTACAGCAAGAGATGAAAGTAGTAAAACAAGGCATGGGGCATGAAGACTTGTCCTTGGAGTCGTACACTCAAGTGTGGGAGGAATGTCTTGCACGCATACTCTTTCTGACAAGTCAAAATCGGTAAACACATGCCAACGTAGCCAGTAAGATAGATCGTATTGAGTCACAAGAAAAACGCTTGGAGCAGAACCGAGGCCACATGACACGTGAGGCAAAGAGGGCTGCCAAGATGGAGAAGAAACTGAAAATCCTTGCAGGAGGCTTCCAGTCACGAGCACAGGTACTTATAAAACAACTGCGTGATTTGTATGAGCAGACAGAGCAGGCACAACTTGAACTGTTGACATTCAATTTCCTTCAGCCCCAGGAAATGGTTGCCATTCCACAAAGACTTGAGTCGCTGACAGAGGATGTTAGGAGGCAAACTGAACGAGGGAAGACATTGCAGGCCAAGTTTGCTGAGCTTCAACAAACAGTGGAACAGTTACAGGACTGAATGTTCACTCTAGAAGGCTGCAGAAGTTACATTTGGAGGCACCTAACTGTGCTTACCGCTTCCTTAGTTGCATTGTGAGTAAATGTACCTGATTACAGTTTGAAGTTGCTGCTAGGGGGAGTAGGCCAGTAAACACTTTCTCCGATTTTTTTTTATAATGCAGTGTTGGCAAGTACTAGTATTCTTGTTGTATTCTTGAAAGTAATTTATGGAATGAATATTGATGTGAGTTCTGCAAGAAAGCAATATTAAATTTTCGTATTGTAAATTTCACATAGTTTGTTTGAATAATTATCCATTCACTGTCATTAAACTTGCAAATGATGATAAGAAGTAACAGCACTTACTGTAGTGTACAGCATAAGTTTAGGCTAGTTTTTATAAGTAAACTAAGAAAGCTGGTTTTGGCCTACAGACAGTTCAGCCATATTTATGAAGAACAGAAGCATTGCCATTGTCCCTGCATTTTTAGAGTGAAAAAACGAATGGAAAATTTAATTTATTACGTGTGAGACCATTGAAATAAATCACTTAAGACAATATAAATGAATAGATTCAAGAAAGAATGATGTGAAATTGACCAAGTAACTTCATTTTATCTGTAATAATACTTCTTATCTGTTTAGTTGTCAATATTATTATCCATAATACTTATCACCATTATTTTATATTTTATATTGATTACTGTGATATTGTGTAAACTCTTAAACTTTTTTTATATTGCAAACTATTTGACAACTGCTTGATTTATAAGCAAGATGAGTTCATACTACTTGACGATTTCTATATNGCAACTTTATACTTTCAATAAATGATAGAATCAGATTATTGATAGATCAGTTTGGCTTATTCACATATTTCCACACAACCCGTTTCCATCTTTTACAACCGTCATCAGGCATTTATAAAGAATAAAATGCATCCGTGTTCATTACTAACCTGCATGACACAATGGATCCATTACTAACAATCTTTTCATATACAAAGTTTTTACATAAGATTACAATGTTTAAATATACTAATGTACTTGCTGAACATCCGCAAACCATGTGTATAATTATTGTTATTTTTATTTTGCACTAAATTTGTGTCATTATATATAATTTTTTCCTTGTGGGGGGGGAGGTGATGGTAATATGTTTCACACTTTTTTCCTTATGGGGACATAGGTGTTGTTTGAGTTTATGTTGATTGCACAAAGCATTTGTTTTAAGGAAGAGAGACAAAAAGTAAAATGAAGTAAGGTAAAACAAAACGGATGAGTGTAATTGATATCATCTTACCTTAGATTAATTTTAGGGTGTTAATTTTGTGTAGTGTTAGAATCCTGAAAGTAGTTCAGCAACTTATAATTAATATTTTCTTGTCACGAAGTGTGCTGGGATAGCTTTATTTGTAAAATGAGCAATGTTGGGAGCTAGATAACTGGGGTTTCATTCTCGGGAGAGGCATAAATTTTCTCTTCACCATCACCTCCAGACCAATTCCGGACCTAGCCTCATATCCAGTAAGGCTCCGATCTGGTATTGAAAGCAGCTGGAGCTTAAAGGTGACCATGCACCTTCTTCTGGTGCTGGGGTTAGTACTTTACTTCAATACTCCCTTTACACCTTCATCGTGTGGTGCTTCAGCATGGAACAATTTTACCCTTTGTCTTTACGTCACAGGATCTCATTTTGAACACAGTTTACACATTCACATTAGATCAGTGAAGTTACTTTTATAGATCAAGGCATTGGAAGGCCGGGTTGCTGTACTGCGTAAGCGAGAGGCGGAGAGCAGGGATGAACTCTCAGTATAAACAGTCTGCTGAATCCTGTAAATATAAACTTGAGAAGAAGATCCTCCAGCGTCAAGAAGAATATGCCCGAATGTTTGACCAATTTAAACAGGTAAGATTATGAATGTCATGTTTACAGTCTGATGGTTAGAATAAAAAATAAATATTAATTGTAGGAATGTAGCCGAAAGATGCATCAGTGTAGCAGACAGTGATTTCCTTAATGGGTCTAACGTTGCTATTATCCTGCAGCTGATTAGCACAAGGTAACAATGATAGTGATACTTATAAAAAGAACCACATATATTGAGACACAAGAAACAAATTACCATTCTTTAGAACAAATAAATTACAACCGGTAGAAGTAAGTCTAACTTCATAGCCTGAGGTGGAAGGGGAAGTGTCTGCTGATACAGGCTGCCCTACCACCCGACCTAAATGTAACAGGGAACCTCATCATAGAAATGTAACATAGATTGTGTTGAATACACAAGTAAATGTGCTACCAGTACTTACTGAAACAAAAACATTTGCAGAACATTGAAATATTGTCCCTAGAATACATTCTGTAAAGAATGGGTCCAATCAATAGAGCTGGGCCAAAGTTTGGAGTTGGGGACTAGCTGTCAGCTGGGCCCAACTAAGTTTTACCTGAAGACAAAGACAGAATACAGTCTCCAAAACGTTGTGTTATGAAA